CCCATTGGCGAGGGGGTTGGCGTACTCATGATTTGCATGCCTACCATTGGCCGCAATCCTCGAGACGATGGAGCATTGTTCCCACAGGACCTATCACCGATGGTCAATCGTTGCTTGCTACTTTGCCGAAGGCGGCTCATACATGTGTATCCCCTATCTTACAATCTGTATCGCCGATAAGAGGTGTGCGTATGGACGTGCGTGTGTGGGAGCTTCAAAAAGCATCGACCGCGCCAACATTCTCACCACCGAAAATGCATCGTCTTGTGTGTGTGTATGTTGCAACAGCATCGACCGCGCCAGCCTTCTGACCAAATGGACATTCGATAGTCTGCGTGTGCATCGTGAAGGGTGTGTGGGTGTCAGCGAACAGCATCGACCTGGCTGCCCGTACCACCCATCAACATGCGCGTGCATACAAGCACCTGGTACATGTAGTGCCAGAGCATCTGCTTCCCGTCCAAGCCTTCCCGTCGTAGCAAGTCGTCCTTCACCTGCCCCAGCTGCTCGTAGTAGACCACCGCTCCCGTCTTATCCTGAGGGTTGTTGTTCATGTTGTTGTTGTTAATAGTTATTGTTGTCGTCGTCTTGACATGAAACAATCGGCTCCGCTCAGTACGTTCTTTAACATCCGCACTGACCCAACTCGCGCAGAAGCCTCCCGTCGTTACAGGCGTTGAGGACACGGAAAAAAATAAACCTTAATCTCTGAACGCGAGATACATGAGGACGACCCCTTTCCTATGTGGAAGCGGCGAGGGCGTGATACGTGTCTTACGACAAACAAGAAAACGGGAATGAACCGCCGCAGACGGAATAAGACCAAACCGGAAACCGCAGACGGACTATAATAAGCCCAACCGGAAACCCTAACCGTTAGGTACACCGCTGAAGACGGAATAAGACCAAACCGGAAACCGTTGACAGAGTGAGACCAGCCGGAAACCCGCAAATCAAATCAGGTAAACCGCCGTGGACGGAATAAGACCAAACCGGAAACCGTAGACGGAATAAGCCAAACCGGAAACCCGCAAAATCAACACGGCAGCTGTCGAACTTCGTACAAGTCATACCTTTCCGTGGAAGTAGGTGGGGTAGTGCTTCTTGATGAGGTCGAAGCGGGGGTGCGGGGTGGCCAAGGCCGTGTTGGCCCCCGACTCTTCTCTCCACAGCAACGTGGCCTGGATGGACAGAACCAAGCAGCAGCGGCGTTTAGTTCCTCTGGCGAGCCACGAACGGCCGTTATATGGGTTGTAATGTAGGGGATCCTACCTAGGGCTCGCAAAGGGTTCTCAGGTTCACATGTCTTGTGTATCATTTCGCCTGTTTTGGGGCTTTCGGATATCTTTCGCTGGTGGAAGCGAGTCTTTTCTCACGCTTCCTTCTCAGGGGCAATCAGGGGGATCGTCGGTACGGTACGTTTCCGCGCCCGCCCGAGGAACACCACCAGTCACCCGTGGCGCTTGTGCTTGACGCCCAAAGTTGAAAAAAAAAAAAAAGTAAAATGTATCATCATGTTGAGCCTGAAGTTATAAACTGCCAAGTTGTTAGGTGCCGGCGCTATCTGTACAGTAGCCTTCGGAGGGTTCTTGCATTCAGGAAACATGTCGGATAAAGAATTCGATCGGAGAAATTGGGTTAGGGTTACGTAACGTAGGGCTAGGGAATACGGTCTGCGTACCCCCTTCTTGTTCTATTTCCTGATAATACTGAATATCCCGCGACGCGACTCAAGCGAAGTCAAATCAATCTGAGTCGCGTCCGGTCGGACAGAAGTATACCTGGTACGTATGAGGCCGCCCACGACACCGACAAGAGCCCTCTGTTTTGTAGAAGGCTGCCTATCCACTGCATCACTACACTCTCTCTTCCTCGACCTCGTCGGAGCAACCGGGCCATCCAACTCAATCTCTCATGTCCCGGGCGCGGTTGAAAGTTTTGCGACCACCCCTGAGAGATAAATGACGATAGTGTGCGTCTGCTTCCATATCCATATCCACCTGACGCAAATCAACACCCACCTTCCATCTCATGCATGACGCACACCAACACTCACTCACGCCTGCCGCAAAACCAAAAACTCACTTTCCATCTCGCGAACGCCTTCTCGGTATTGCCGCACTCGGCAAGCAGGAAGCTGTGCGGAACGCGGGGGATGTCTTGTGCACCGCTCCCCCCCCCGGCCCCGGGTGCGGGGGGCTCCGTGGATGCAACGGGTTCCGTTGGTGCAGGGGGGTCCGCGCATGAGAGCGCCGCCGCTTCCAGCTCGCCGTTCACCACCTGAGTACGCGGGTTGAACACATATGCAGCAACCGCTTAAAAAAAAAATACGACGATTGCAATTTTTCTCCAAGAGAGGACACGACGGTGTATGTGTGTTTCTTTGACTAGCATTGACCGCCCTAACCGGGCTGACCAACGGTGGGATTTAAAAAGCACGAACACGCTTTCTTGCCATCGAGCTTTTGTGTGCGATCATGTACGTGTTTCTTCAAATAGCATCAATCGTGCTCTCTCACCCGTGATCACCTGCCATACTTAGGCACCGGAAGCAAATAAATGGGGGGGGGAAAGGTCGTCTACCGTAGCGTTACGATTTTTCTAGACCGACACACACGCACGCAACAGGCAATCAATCTGTCAACCGCAGAAGCAGCACTGCTCATCTATTGACGACGCCATCCTTGAGGCTCAAAAATTCGTTCTCTGCGACACAAATTAAGGAAATCAATGCCAAAAAAAAGGCATCAAGCGGTTTGGTGTGTTCTTGGTGTAATCGGTTTGGAGCAAATGCGAGTCGCGTCGTGACTCGCGTCGCGTTCACGTCGAGAGTAGGTCTGGACACTCGTCGCGCGGGCAAGCATCTCCATACGCCGAGCAGACCCAAGCAGCAACAGACAACAAACACGACACGCGTATGGGGAGAGACGGTTTCTTCGTGCGCAAAACAACAAAGTGCACAAAGCAACAACCAACACTACGTTTGGCACACGCCACACCAACACAAAACCAGGCTGGCTGCTGATCTCTCACCTCATCCTCCCCCTGCTCCGGGCCTCCCGGACAGCTCTGCCGCGCAGTTGGCACGGCAACGGCGGCGTCTGGCGACTCCAAGGAGCAACAGTGCTCCACGATCATCCAAGCGTTTGGCCTGCCGCAATCGCCGTCGTCTCTTCTCCGGAAGGTGAAGCTGAAGCGGGCCCGCACCTCCACCTCCCCGCCCTCCCCCCCATCTCCCCGCCGCCACGCGAAGATGTGGATTCCGGTCTGCGCCGCGAAGTCGCCGTACACGCGCACCCGCTGCGGGAGGAACTCCACCAGCTTCAAGCCCGGCAGCCGAGCGAAGCAGTCCTACAGCGGATTCGGCGCGCGCGCGAGGGGACGGGGGACGGGGGGGGGTGTACTCATGTTTTGCATGCCTTAGTTGCGACACCATTGGCCAAAGGGGTGGGGTGTGGGGGGGGTGTACTCATCAACTGTTTGCTGTAAAGAGCCGAATGGTTGGCCGTTGGCTACACCCCCCCTTTCGATGCAGGCAACGCCGACGTTTCATGCGCTGCGATCGTACCTTCATGCAACGGCACAACGACGCAATGAGAACAACAGCAATCACTATCATCACCAGGACCGATACCAACGTACAAAAAAAAACAAAAAACACAAGCACCCCTCGCGGGGTCCGAGACTATGGTAGCCATTAGACGCATTTCCAGTTTTCAACCGCACAGTCTTTTCATTGGTCAGCCGGCTAGCTATCGCGGTCGATGCAAACACACACACACATAGTGTTTTGTGTTTTCAACCGCACTGAGACTCACGTCTTTTCATTGGTCAGCCGGATAGCGCGGTTGATGCAAATAATAAAGACACACACATACACACACACACGCGCGCGCGAGAAACTCACGAAATAAGCGTAGATTTGCTCAGGGGTATCGCGGACCACTTCTGACGAGACCATCGTCGCCCCGCGAGCCTCATCCAACGGGGCGAACACCTCCGTTCCCCAGAGAACAGCGTCCCGCGCGTAGAGACCCGCCACTCTCCGCGGGCCGTCGTAGGTACCCATGGTGACGGCGTCCAACCACAAGGCTGTCGTTCGTTCCACGGCTTTGTGGTCTGCTTTTCGAGCGAGAAAGAGAAAGCGAGAGAGAGAGAGTGAGAGAGTGAGTGAGAGAGTGAGAGAGAGGGCGGCGGGAACAAATATAGATTCAAAAATGAGCACACAGCAGTATCCAGTCGTTTCATGTGTAGTCTCCCAAGACTTCCCCAACACACGCCTTGTTAACGACAACAGCCACCAAGAGACTCAATATAAGTGCAGCAGTATCCGGCCGTGTTGGTCTCCCAACACTTTCAACACACGCCCGTACGATCGCCAGCCTCCGTGACAGCTGTCTCGCGTTACGTCAGCGTGCCAGCTCAGCGTGGCGTGCGCCCGCGGCGTGTGCCCACGTTGCGTCAGACTGGGTTCTGCGTCAGCGCTCTGTGCACAGCCCCTCCTCTGTCGCTTCCATCTCCCCTTCCGAACTCCACATCAGAGAACCGTCGACTCTTCCTAGAGACCCGCCTTGTCCCGTGAAACTTCACGGTTCTCACCATTGCCCCGGAGAGACCGTCTGTATATCATACGGCTGAGGAATCAACACCCCCCCCGTGGTTAAGATAGTAAAATCATCGTGTACAGGGTTAAACAGACTCGAAATAAGCCCAATACCCAGCCGGTTTTCCTCCACTCACTGCAAAGACTCCAGCACACCCCCTTCGACTGTGGTTGTGTCTCGAATGGGTAGTTTTTCTGTGTTTGAAGAATTTATTTGTCCTAAAACCCCTTGTTGGCATCAGCGGCAGGATTAGCTGGTAGTCGGACGACCTGCTGCATCTCGGCCAGGGTCGAGGACGGGTCGGTGACAGGAGATGTGGGTGCGGGTCGAGTGGCTTGTGCAGGAGAGACGGCACGGTGATTTGAACGCCGGCGTGCGACCACGGGTCTGGCGGACAGGCACAAAATATTCGATCCATGATGGACGTCACATGCGCTGGGAGCTCGTCGATTCGACACGTTATTTCAGGTCCTGAAGCGGAGAGATTCCTCTTCGCGCCTTTCCTGCCATGTGCAGGAGAGGTCCCAATTATAGCAGGACACCCCTATTCCTCGCTCTCATCTACGGTGTCCCGGTCGGATCGATTACGGCGCGGGACGCGGTCCTCGTGGCGTAACCTCTTTTGCTGCGGCGTGGCTGTCCCGTTTGCGGGCTTCCTTATTCTCCTCCCGTTGACGCTGGAAGCACGTCTCCAGAGTGTGACCTGTGGGCTTCTCGCACGTTGGGTGGGTGTAGCGGGGGCGCTCCCTTGGCGCGGACCGTTGACGCTGCCGCGCAAAGGTACGTGTGCCGGTGGGCAATCCGCCTCCACCGGAAGGTGACTACTTGAA